TGGCCAGCAGCTTATGAGATGCTGATTAACGCAGACTCGTGTCACGTGCTCTAGAGTCGTTTAAGTCCCCCCAAAGTAAATGGGCTGTGGTGAGAACTTGGACCGGCTGCCCAGGATCTGGGTCCGGAAGGAAACTGGACAGTGAAAATGGACCTCGCTCCTGCATTTTCAGAAAAGCCAGAGTAGAGGGAGTGGTGGAACACACAATTTTAAAGAAATTCTACAAATATGATCACAGTTCTTGGGGGGGGGGGATTTAACCAGCAGTGGAAGTTCCTAACTGGTAGATTATCTGGGTCGTTAGGAGAGGAGAGTTTCAGGGTGGAACCCGCTGAATGGGATGGGTCTGTACTTTCAAGATGGTCCCAGGTGATTTAGAAGGTCGGATGGAGCAGGGAATCCTCAGATGTGCCCCTGCCCCAGCACAGGGGACAGTCCGCTGGTTGGTTTATGTTTGAAGCTGTCCCATGGCCTGCAGCATCAAGCCCACAGAGCCTGGCTCCCGGCGCCTGGACTTCTCTGGTTTGTCTCACTTATCTTCAGCTGGCACTTTTTATTGGTCGTTCTAGAAAGCCGCTTCCCCCAAAATGCTTCCTACCTTTTCCATTTTCCTTTCTTATGTGAGGTCTTCTGAAAGCCCCCCTCTTCTTCCTAACCGTGAGTGACACCTGGCCTTCACTTCACCCTGTCCTGGAAGTCTGGCCGGATCACCTACCCAGAGGACTTAGGAGGATAAGTAGAGTTTTTTTTTTCTTAAATAAAATGAGAAATGCAGAAAACATGACTGAGAAAAAAGATCGATAGATTTGAAAACAAAACAAAACATTAGACATTTCTACAATGGGAATGTAGATCTTAAAGTTGACAGATGACAGGGAAAAAAAGTTGATGATACTTATAAACACCAAATTTCACTCATTGAGATATTCATGATTTGATATGCAAAAACTAACACCCCAACCCAAAATGGGCAGAGGATAAAAATGGGCAACCCCGAGAAGAGGCAAGACAAGAGCCGGGGTATGGCAGGATGCTGGGCGACACTGCAGACAGGGAACAAAGAGTGAAATTAGCCAGATGTCAGTTTCTACCCATCCAAGGTTCAAAAAAATTTAAAACAACCCATAACATCCCGAGCCAGAGGGTGGTGAAACGGGCATCTTCTCCATTGCCCATGGGGGTAGGAATTGCTAGAAATGTTTACCAAAGTAGATTGGAAACATCTCTACAATAAACGATGTTTATATCCTTTAATTGAACCACTAATCCTATTTCTAGAATCCAACTGTGCAGCTTGCAAAATAAAACCACAGATGTAAGACTATAGGTATAAGGATTATTTCAGCTCCGTTTGAGGTAGGCGCGGGGAGGAGCACTGACTACCCCGCCGTAAAGGAATATGCATTCACAGGAATCACAACGAGATCTGAATGTGGAGGGGAAATGACTGTGATCTGTATGGCTTACCATTTTTATAAAAAGGTGATAAAGCCCTTTCCAGGTATCTATATTTCTACATGTTTATGAACACCTAGAGAAAGGGGTTATGGTCACCTACCAAGTACGCCCAGGTATTATCATCTCAGGAATAGAGGTACAGTGGGGGAGGTGGCCTGCCCTTAACTCTGTGCGAGGGTGTAGGGTCCCATCCCAGAGGACAAACAGAAGCTCCCCCTGGTCTCCCCTGCTCCTTCCTGCAGCTCCGTGTACTGATGGCCTCAGGCACAGGTGCTGGCAGCCTCATGGCTCCTCCCCAATGCTTCAGAGGGCCTATGGGTGCCCTCATCCCCAGCAGGCCCAAAAGGTGCCTGGGTCTTGAAAGGGGGCTGGAGGCCACTGGGACAGGAAATTCTAGCATCCTGGGTGCTTGGGGTGCCCAGACTCCACTGGGCCCATCTCCTGGGCCTTGAAGACGCCTGTTCCTTGGAGGATGCTCAGCCTCCTAACAGAGAGCGCAGGACCAGGGCCCCAGGTGCCCAGGTTTGAGTGAAGTTCAGGGGAGAGAGGAAGATGGCGAAATATTCTTTTATGTTTCTTTCAATTATTTGGCCCGGTACAATCAGCATTCATGGCCTTTTTTTTTTTTAATTTAAAAATATTCCTTTAAACATTTTGAACTGAAATATAAAAATCTAATAGGGAAAAAGAATCCCAGCTAAACTAATCTCTAATACAGGAATGCTAGGCACAACACTGACCCGCAGGTAGGGAAAGAGCCGAGCAGCCGGCCTCACCTCTCCTTGCTCCATCTTCCCACCCGAGTAGCTCATTTCCTCCAAAGCACCCACGGCGTAGGGTTAGGCACACAGAGGTGCATTCACATTGTTTTGTTGTGTGTTTTTTTTTTTTTTTTGAGGAGGGGAATGCCCATTTGTTTTAAGAATTCACTCTTTACCGAGGGCTCCTGTGATCAACACCATTTCAGGAGCTGGAAAAACAGCAAAGACATAGCAATGATCTCAATTTATGAGGCAGATAGAAAACAAGACACATATATAAAAGCAAAGATGTGTTCAAAGGTGCAAAAATGAAGCCAGAGAAGAATGAGGGTCTGGGACTGTGTGTGTTTAACATGGAATGGCTAAGAAGGTCTTTCCTGGGAGATCTGAATCCAGATGGATGGGAAATGAGGGGGCTCAGGCTGGACTAGGTGGAGTGAAGGGCTGCTCACTCCCCTCTACCAATCAATTAGGAAACAAACCAGATGCAAAAAGGTGTGGAGGAATCAAATGCATGTTCCTAAGTCAAAGAAGTCAGTCTGCAGGCTATGGGCTGAATGAGCCTAACTATCTGATTTTCTAGAAAAGAGACAGTAAAAGGACCCATGTTTACCAGGGGTGAGTGGGGAAGTTTTTAGGGTGGTGAAGTGGTTCTGGATGATCCTACAGTGGTGGAGACGTGACCCTATGCATTTGTCATAACCCACGACGGGCTTTAGAGCACAGAGAGTGAAACTTAATGTCAATAAAGGGAAAGAAAGATCAAACTCAGTTAGAAGGTGAGGGAGTCCCAGGAAGAAAGGCAGACTCTGATAAGAGGTTCTAAGTGCATGAAAAATGTATGAAACTATCTCCCTGAAGAGCAAAGGTGGTGCTGATCTGAGCCACTGAATACTCAAGTTGAAGACATCAGTAAGATCTCATGTTCAACTTAATATACAGATGGAGGGGTATGTGTGTGTGTGTGTGTGGGTGTGGGTCAGGAAATACACAGGATGAGCCCGGGGAGTCTGTGGTGTCATAAAGTAGGGAAGTGACCCTCCTGTTCCACCAAAATGGATAGAGACATGTCAAAGGGACACAGGAGCCAACTGAAAGAGTTCCCAAGGCCAAAGCTGGAAAAGTTGGAACAATCCCCAAATCCAGGGATTAGGTTATATAATGCAAAATATAAAGTAAACATCCATGAGTCCATATGGATATAAATAAATGATCGAATTCATAATTAAGTGCGAGGTGGAACAATCTGACACATAGTACCTCTGCCTGGTGACCAAGGTCAACATCCCAGTCATAGACCATGTGGACAGCAGGTGCCCTTGACATACAGGGCTCTTACCTCTGTGCCCTTCCACCCAATAAACCATGACCCAATCTAATCATGAGAAAAAGCATCACTCAAACCCAAGTGAGGAACATTCTACAAAATTCCCGACTGATACTCAAAACCCATAAACCAGTAGGGTCTGAAGGATCACAGAAAAAAGAAGCCTAAGGAGATAAGATCATGAAACATGAGATGATGCCCAGAAAGTGGTGGTGGTGGTGGGGGGAAATAACTAAGGCAAAAACTTAAGAAATCTGAATAAACTGTGGGCTTCACTGAATAATAATGTATCAATACTCATTCATTAATCGTAACAAAATGTACTATACTAACACATTAACTAAAGGGGGGACTGGGTTTTTGGATATATGGGAAATGTGTACTATCCTCTCAAAATTTCTGTAAACCTAAAACTGTTCTTAAAAATAAAGTCTATTATTTAAATTAAACCTGGGTATTAGTCTATCATCTGTTGCTGTAACAAAATACCCAAGGTTGGGACTTAATTTAAAAAAAGAGAGATTTATTTACCTCATAGTTCTGAGAGCTCAAAATCCAAGATTGGGTGGTCTAATGGATTACGTCTCTGGTGAGGGCATTTTGGCTACATCACAACATGGCATATGGCATCATGGCAAGAGGGGACAAATCACATGGCTAGACAGGAAGTCAGTGGAGAGGTGCCAACCTTGTTCTTTTACAATAACACACACATGTGGGAACTAACTGGGGTCCCAGGAGAACTACATTAATTCCTTCCAAGGGTAGCGCTGCCAGGGACCTAATTTCCTAGTATTAAACTTCCAACATTGTCAGGCTGAAGACCAAGCCTCCAACACACGAACCGCTGAGGCACGGGCTCCAACAATTTGCATGTACCCATAAAGTTACAATCAGGATGTTTTAATTCCAGTTCTGTTCGAGGGAAATGTAGTTCTGAGCTTTTGCATGCATGCACACCAGAAATGAATCGTTAGCTTCTGAACACTGGATCCTTGGGTGTTTTCCAAGACCTTCAGGTGGCTTTGGGAGGCTGCAGCTCCTGGAAATTGAGCAGCCACAAAAATAACTCCAGGGGACCTTTCCTTAGTCCTCAACGTCCACAGTGAGCATTTTTTTTTTTTTTTTTTTTGCTTTTAATAAACTGAGAATTTCCTAGGACGTGTAAACTGGAACTGCCTACTGGAAATGGATTCTCACTCATAAAGAATGGACTGTGTCGTTTTGGGTGCGCAGAGTTTCCTGGGAACCTGTAAAGTTCCATCTCGTGTGGAGGAGTTAGAGCCAGGCTTTGTACACGGAAGAGTTCTTTTGGTTTGGGGTATAATTTTTTTTTTTTCTGTCTTCCAGAGGAAACTGTTAATAATGTACTTTGTGCAACTGCAGGTAATTGTCTCCTAGATTTTCCTGAATTTTCTGCTGAGTAGTAAAGTGGAATTTTTTTTCTTTTAAAGGAAAAAAGATCACTGTTCCCTTCCGTTGGGGATGATAGGGACGTCAGAAGCTGGTCTCCAGGAGGGGAGCATCGTCATGAAGAGCAGGTACAAGGGGAGGTGGAAAGGAAGCCGGCCTGGGATGCAGAGATTATGCATGATGACTTGTTATATAGGCCACCGGGTGAAGTGGGGGTCAGATGTTCAGACGAGGCTGTAGCCCTTCCCCAAAGCAGTTCTTGAAGGAATTGGACTTGTTTGCCTTTAAATAGGATCTGAGAATACTCAGAGCACTTTGAGTGACTCACAGCAGCCTGTTGTATTTGTAAATATCTTTCCTTGGAGAGATTTAAACAGGAAGTCTGGAGAGTCTGTTTCCCCAACACATTGAATTGGTGGTTGAATTCTGCTTCTGGGGAAGTCAAAGAGGGGCTGATTTCTAGTCTCCTTGGAGGTGCTACCCTAAAACCATCCATCTTGGCCTTGAAGGAGGTAGGGCAGAGATGTTCTGAGAGCAGCCCTACTCAACCCTCATGAATTACAAATAAAGCCTCTGCAGTAGAAGACCACCTCGTGTGCAGACACACTCCTTGCCTAACCTTAACATTCTCCCTGCCACCATCCCATGCTATGCCAGGCCAAGCCATGCCACACCATGGGCCATCTCACTCCATCCTACCATGTCCCATCCCATCCATCCATCTTAGCCTACCCCATCCCAACACCACCCCATCCATCTAGTCCCATTGTGCTTGGGATAAGCATCAGGGTTGTTTTGATTTTTCAGCTGCTAAAGTAAAATGTGAGTGAACAAACCATAGCCATAAACGCCCCCAGTGGAGTTACGCAGCCTTATTTGCCTCCTTACATTTCATTGAAGGCTTGCCTGTTCATCTACTTTGTATACATACTGCATTTTTTAATATTTTTATATTTACGTTGTTCTTTCCTCCCCTGTTTCCGATTCTTTAACACCTTTCTCTCTAAACTCAAGAAGGTGGTAGGTTAGTGAGACCTGTCCCTTTGTGGAGCTGTCTGGTGTGATGGTGGAGGCTAGGGTATGGGGCGGGGTCTGGAGAAGACGTGTGTGGAGCCCTCTAAGGTTGGCAGGCTGAGAGGCAAGGCACATCTGGGCTGACAACCAGGAACCCATGAGTTGGTACTCAGGGATTTTCTGTCTCTCCCAGTGCGAGTTGGGCAAAGGTGTGATTTTTCCTGTTCCTCCTGTGATTTATAGAATGACTGTCCTTCTGCCAGAATGATCTTCCCTTATGCACTCTTGAATTAATTCCTGTTTTTAAAAAAATGATTTAAGCTAGGAACGGTGGCACATGCCTGCAACTCAGCGGCTTGGGTGGGTGAGGCAGGAGGATCACGAGTTCAAAGTCAGCTTCAGCAACTTAGTGAGGCCCTAAGCAACTTAGTGAGACCCTGTCTCTAAATTAAAATTTTTTTAAAAAAATTAAGTGTCTCTGGATTCAATCCCTAGTATA